AGATGTGGTTTTATAGACGAATGATGAGAATACCCTAGAGAGATAAAAAGAGTAATGAATACGTCTTGAAAAAAACTGACGCACAAAGAGAACTGATTGCCCACATCAGAAAGAGACAATCTACATTCTTTGATCATGTGATGAGAAGGAGCAAACTGGAGTACATCGTGACGGTAGGAAAGTTGGAGAGGAGGAGAGGCAGAGGGAGACTGAGAGAACAGATGCTGGACAGTTTGACACCACTGCATAGAGGATCACCTGTGTCAGAGTTGACTGAAAGTTCACGGGACAGAAGGTAGTGGATAGACATGACTACCAACGCCACATGGCATGGACTTTAATAAGAAGAAGTAATTCTTTCATTGCCTTGAAGTGTTGAATCTGTATGAATGTTGTGATTCACCAAATATGGTAAATTCAACGAAGAAATTAAAGTAAAGCTGGCCAAGTTTTGGGACAGTTAGTTCCCCTCTTACAGCATAAGACAATCCCAATCAGCACAAAGAGACATCTCATCCATAGACTATTCATTCTCACTCCTAGCTACCAGTGCCAGACTTGGTCACTCACAACAAACCAGAACCGAAAATTAGTAACCATGGAAATGAGATGTATGAGAAGGGCTGCAGGAGTGAAAGAAGAGATAAGATCAGGAATGAGATCATAACAGCAAAAGCCGCCACAGAACCAGTTCTAGATTACATACAAAGACAGCAGATCGGTTGGTTTGCCCACTTAAAGTGAATGCCTTGTGATACCATCCCATGCAAATTTTCCAATTTCTTGTCCTTTTTACGAAAAAATTTTTCATCATTTGAAGCCCTACTCTGGCTCTTGCCAGGGGCCGCAATATAGCCTGGCCATAAATATGGCCTAAAGGCTGAACGCGGTTTCTGGGACCTCTCCACGGTGATCCCCACCCACATGGTGGCACATTGTGTCATCGGGTGTTTATCGCTTGTGTGATGTCCTGGTGGGGTAGAAAGTCAGTCAGTCAGTCATCCCATGCAAGGTATACACCTAAAGAGGGGAAGAACGGTAAACCAAGAACAAGGTGGACAGATAACACCAGAGACACTCTACAACAACATGATGTGTCTCTGGTCGAGGGTGACCAGAAGAGCAACAAGCAGAACCTTATATCCCACTTGACACCTGAAGTGGTAACAGAGAAAGTGAAGAAGAAGAAGAAAATTGTCATCATGGCACATATAGTGCGAGCGAGGCCTGTATTTTTTATAGATCAGTTGGCACTTGATGAAGTGGTCAACATCATGCTGGTCGCCTTTCCTTCCCAGGACATTGCCCAGTACTCATTTTAGGTGAGGTCAACCTCAGACCAGAGGTCAGTTTTGAGTGAAACAACTGTGCCTAAATATGAATTTGAACCCTAGGCCTTCTGGTCGCCAGGCGAGCATCTAACATCAATCAGCAAAGTGCCATCGTCACAGTGACGGTTGGCTGCAACAGATCTCTACATGCTCTGTCTCTTGTCCTGGTTGTAGACTGACTCTCTCAGACTGTTGTTCGTCCATCTTTTGATATTGTCCTCCCACTTGTTTCATTGTCTGCCTCTAGAAGTCTTGTCATCGACCTGTCCCTCCAGTATGACTTTTAAAAACATAGTATGTTTTTTAATGTGGCCAACATATTTCAGTTTCCTCTTTTTCCTAATCTCTTAGCAATTATGTTTTCATTTGTAGAATTCCAGAACGTCTGTACCGAACTGTTCTTGTTTCCATGAAATATGACCCCTTCTTCTGTACAACCACATTTCAAGAGACTCAGTCCGATTGTGTAGTTGCTTGTTCAATGTCGAAGTTTCTGCACGATGTAGCAGGGTTGGGTCTGCATAACATTTGACGATTCTCATTTTTAATATGTTGTTCATCTCTCTAGTTAATATGTTGTTTATCCCTCTAGTTGTTTTTCCGTCTTATCGCCATTTCTATTCTCTTAGCTCCTATATCGACTCAGCCTTTTAAATGGGTACCAGGTACAGTACTAGGAATTAAATGTGGCTGTTGTGGTCTGACCGGTCGGCTATGTGGCTGAGTCGATGCGAACGCTTCGCTTCGTAATGCCGGGATGCCAGGTTCGATCCCAGCTGCGGGCAATGCGCCTTGCGTTGGTTTCGACAGTGGTATCAAGAAAGCCGACCGTCCAGGAGCAATGGCAAACTACTGGATGTAAATTGCGTAGAGAAACCACACAACAGCCAGGGGCTGTTAGGGTTGGTTCTGCATCGTCCTGTAAAGGATACGCAACTTTTCTGTGGTGCTGACCACAATGATCCCTGAGTGCCAATTGGTCTATACAATATTGGTCCAATCCTATATGCCCAATACCATTTATGGAAATGGGGCCTTTACTTTGAATTAGTGGTGTCTCTATATTCTCGACATAGACAGTTTGAGAACTGCGACTCTCAGGTAGTTTGTCCTACCTGCCCGCCAGCCATGACCTTGGGCTACAACCGGAAACCGCTGTCGAGCAGACGAACTGCCCGGCTCAAGAACCAAGTGTTGACGTTTTCTCTGGCTGGACTAGAGCAGGTTTGTCAAATATTTCTGTCTTACGGCTCTACCACTGCTCCCTTCCTTTATAGTGTCGAAAACATTGTGTAAACTGTCGCAGCATACTAAAGAAAGTGGCAATAGTGCTTACAATGTTCTGATAACAATAACAGTAACACTTCGAGTGTGGTGTCACGTCACGTACCACTGTCAGCTGATCCCAGTTTTCAAACACCCAGCTGTCCCATTAGAGACATACATAAATGGTCCTTTTGCGGATCCGAGCAAACCGCCACACAGGTAGTAATTGTATCAGACTCCATGAATATGCTTCAGAAAAAAGCAACAGGCGGTATGCGCTCTGAATGGGTACAACAAAGCATTCGAAAATCGCTCTTAACCTCCCTAACCTGGATCTACACAACGTGTCATGAGGGCTTAAAGGGAAATGATCGAGTAGACCAACTGGCAAGCACTGCACTAAGGCATGTGAGAAGAAGCATGGACAGAGCAGATATCGTCAATGCTGTACGGACTGGGCTAGTGGATAATGAGGAAATCCTCACACTAACACGATTGCATGAGATAGGAGTAAAGCATGGTGAAGCACGCCTATGCCGTCTTCGAGGCCGAGATAGGAGACAATATAATCAGCTTCTCATGGGAACAATTAGTAGAAGTTCTATGGAGTGGCTGCTGCATCAGAGGTTTGAGCACGCATAGGAATGCCCAATGTGCAGTGACGTCGATTGCGATAACATAACATACCTCCTACCTTTTAAAGATCATTGTTGCAACAAGTCCAGCTCCATCGGGATCTTAAGGTATGCTTTCGGATCCTCAGTCAAGCGTCTAGCCGCACCCAGTAGAGACAGAAATGTAATTATAGGTGCAATCGTGGTACCAGCCTCATGCTACCAGTGTCAGACTTGGACATTGACTACAGAACATGAAAGAAAACTGACCAACTGCAAAACAAGATGTTTTAGAGAGGTCGTTAAAAAAAACTTAAAGAGACCTTGTAAAAAAAAAAAATTAAGAAATTACAAGAACTGTTGGAACAGCGTGTATCATTAAATTATTGAAAAACAAAGCCTGAAATTGTTGGCCATTTGATGAGAATATATCAAATGAAGCTAGCATCCAGGGTGTACAACATGAAAGTAAAAACACCAGAAGGTAAGGGAGACTCCACAACATTACATCATATAAGTTTAAAAAAAAAAAAACCCAGTAAAGGTCCCTTTTCCAGGCCTTTAGGCGTATTGGGTATATAGGGCTAGACCTATATTTTTAAAGACCTCACCAGCCTTGGTGGGTGATGTGGTCAGCATCAGGCCGGCCATCTTTACCTCCCAGGAGTGCACCTGGTACCCGCTCAAGGCTGTGGCTCGACCAGGGAGTCGAGGTAATTTTCTTTAAAAGTCCTGCTCCGTCAGGGCGCGAGCCCATGACCCTCTGGTCCCCAGGCGGGCATATTACAGCAAATAAAGGGAGGTTATGTGCCCTAGCTCGGACATTGATTATCTTTTAACCTGTAGCGCCTAGCGGCAAAAAAACAGAATAAAGTACACTTCAGTTAACAATCTTTCCAAGGTTAATCTTCGTCAAAAGTAAAAATCATTTTATTGTTTAGAAACGCTGTGTTGTTGCATATTCATACACTGTGTGTTGATTGTCTTCTCGAAACGTAATATGATTACATGAAATCAAGGAAAACCGGGAAACAACCTCTGCGTTTCCGCATCTTCCTCTAGTCATATTTGTATCTTCACAGATGTTATCTTCCGTAGGTCAAGTTGTGGTATCAGGTCCTGCGAAAGCTAGCAGACCAAATGACAAATGAAGGCTGTTGGTTGCAGTTGTGTATGGAAGCCCTTGATAAAGAGTTATGATAACATACAGCATTCATTGTCCTAAATTATTTAAACAAAAATATTAGAAACAAACAATACGAAAATGAAAAAGTATTTCAAACAATAGCCAAATCAGAACTACTAAAACCAGGGCATGTGAAAATTACACAAGCTAAAAAATCAGTCACAGCGGGGTTGACAGAGTAGAAGCACCAGCAGTGATAGTTAATTGCAGAAAAGTTTACAAGGAGAAAATCACCATATTATTTGTGTGAAAACTGTTGGCTCCTTGCCTCTCAGGCAGATACACTCTGGCTTCGAAGGAAACCCTTAATAATCGACTCTTACGACACATTTGCTGGGAAGGAGTCTACCCCCTCCCCCAATGGGGCCCTGGAAACCCACACAGGGAACATGATGAATACCAGGTCTCTTCCACAGTGCAACTCTCATGCCATTATCTGAACTAGAAAAGGTTTTTTTAGGTCAACAATCAACTGAACTCTGGTACTTAATGATCATGAAATAAATTCATTAGAAAATGACAAATTAATCTGTTTTATTTTAATTGAACAGGTGAAAACTTCATCATAAAACAATAGCAGACATCTTAGACCAAACAGAAAAGATGACTAGGCGCAGGGTGTATGTGACAAGACAAGTCCACGAGGAAGCGGTTGACTTGTTGAAGGAGCACTTCGATGTGGGAGTTTGGGCCAGTGATGAGGTGGTTCCCAGAGCTGAACTACTGGAGCAAGTCCAGGGCGTTGATACAGTGTTTTGTACCATCTCTGACAACATTGATGCCAAACTCCTGGATGCTGCAGGTCAGGCTCTGTGTCTCTAGCAAACAGATAGTTTCATATCAGATACTGTCACTGGCTGGGAAGTATTAGACATTCACATATTCTAGGTTGTGATATATGAGATAGGGTGCTCAATTCCCTGCCTTCTTCGAAGTCAGAGTACATCTGCCTGAGAGGCAAGGAACCAGCAGTCTGCATACAAATGAGTCAGATCTGTAAAACGGATACACACTCAGGTTCTGGAACAGGTCTGCAGTCCAGAAGTGGACGAACACCCAGAACTTTCCGCCAGAGTTTACAGCTGGTGAATGCGAAGAAGAAGAAAAAGAATTCCCTGCCTCGTCACCTTCCTTTCCCTGACAGTTCACAGAAAACTGTGAAATGTCTCTGATAGCTGTTGTGTATTCCTGGGTTGATCATAAACCACTTGTCAAAAAGAAGGACAAATTCAATCACTACTGATAATTGAACCCACTCTCCCCCTGTGGGTTTGAGGGCCCCATTTAAGGGGAGAAACAGAATATACCCCCTCCCCCAACAAGTATGTTATAATAGTGTCTTCTTCTTGGCGCTCACCAACTGTGAACTCTTGGCAGAAAGTTTAGGTTGTTCATCCATCTCTGGACTTTAGTCTGTTTCCAGTACCTGAGTTTTCCGTACACATCTGTTTTACAGATCTGGCTTATTTGTATGTAGACTGTTGGTTCCTTGCCTCATGCACTCTGACTCCAAAGAAAGCCCTAATTAGTCAACTCTTATGACATGCTTGTTGGGGAGGCCAGGCAGTGGGACTACTCTTGTCTCCCCCCCCCCTTCCCCACCCACCTAATGGGGCCTCAGAACCCACACAGGAGGGAAGGTGCCTAATTAGGGGTTTTCCTTCAAGTTGGAGTACATCTGCCTGAGAGGTGAGGAACCAACAATCTGCATACCAAATAAATCTGTAAAATAGATATGCACTCAAAACTCAAGTTCTCTGGAACAAGACCAAAGTCTAAAAGTGGACAAACAACCAGAACTGTTTGTTAGAGTTTACAACTAGTGAACGCAGAGAAGAAGAAGAAGACACTCGGACACTATCTAGGCAGGAAATCAGGCTACTGACGTTGCCACAGCAGCTCTTTATTTCAAATAAATATAATTGTTGCACATGATGAAAGCCCACTGAACCCTGTTTATCAGCCCCAGATTTTCACAGCCACTGTCTCATGGGGGAGTAACTAGTAATCAAATCACAAGTGTATCTCCTATGAAGTGAATCCATTGTGAAGTACTAGAGGGTTTGTAAATTCCATTCAGCCCAAGCGCCAGGGCTTGTTTCTTGGGGGGAATGCAATGGTACACAGAACTGGCACCGTTTTTGGGGGGTTTTGTTTACATATAGGAAAAAGTCCCTGCCGAAAGCTATACTAGTTGTGGTATATCTACTGGCAGGGTAGCAGACAGGAATGATGGAGGGATGCCCAGATATTACCATATTGTAGTTTGCTGACATCATGACCAGTGATATTATATTATGGTTCTCTGGGTGTTGAAATCATTTTATAATTCTACTGTTTTATAGTCCTATACATTTTACTAGGGGCTCAAATATTGAACTTTTGTTGCTAGGTCATTCAACCATACTTCACCAAATCCCCTGACATAAAAATTTTTTTTTGCTGCACCGTACAGCCATACCTTCCGAAATCCTCACACGTAAATCATTCATTGCTACACAATGCACCCATACTTGACCAAGTCTTCAGTCATTAATGTTTCTTTGCTACATCATACAGCGTAGTCATAAATATTTGTTTGTTTGTTTGCTGCCTCAAACAGTAATGTGTCTCTAGGTCCACAGTTAAAGGTTGTTGCTACCATGTCTCAAACAATAATGTGTCTCTAGGTCCACAGTTAAAGGTTGTGGCTACCATGTCTCAAACAATAATGTGTCTCTAGGTCCACAGTTAAAGGTTGTTGCTACCATGTCTCAAACAATAATGTGTCTCTAGGTCCACAGTTAAAGGTTGTGGCTACCATGTCTCAAACAATAATGTGTCTCTAGGTCCACAGTTAAAGGTTGTTGCTACCATGTCTCAAACAATGTGTCTCTAGGTCCACAGTTAAAGGTTGTGGCTACCATGTCTCAAACAATAATGTGTCTCTAGGTCCACAGTTAAAGGTTGTTGCTACCATGTCTCAAACAATTATGTGTCTCTAGGTCCACAGTTAAAGGTTGTGGCTACCATGTCTCAAACAATAATGTGTCTCTAGGTCCACAGTTAAAGGTTGTTGCTACCATGTCTCAAACAATAATGGGTCTCTAGGTCCACAGTTAAAGGTTGTGGCTACCATGTCTCAAACAACAATGTGTCTCTAGGTCCACAGTTAAAGGTTGTTGCTACCATGTCTCAAACAATAATGTGTCTCTAGGTCCACAGTTAAAGGTTGTGGCTACCATGTCTCAAACAATGATGTGTCTCTAGGTCCACAGTTAAAGGTTGTTGCTACCATGTCTCAAACAATGTGTCTCTAGGTCCACAGTTAAAGGTTGTGGCTACCATGTCTCAAACAATAATGTGTCTCTAGGTCCACAGTTAAAGGTTGTTGCTACCATGTCTCAAACAATGTGTCTCTAGGTCCACAGTTAAAGGTTGTGGCTACCATGTCTCAAACAATGTGTCTCTAGGTCCACAGTTAAAGGTTGTTGCTACCATGTCTCAAACAATAATGTGTCTCTAGGTCCACAGTTAAAGGTTGTTGCTACCATGTCTCAAACAATAATGTGTCTCTAATTTTACAGTTAAAGGTTGTGGCTACCATGTCTCAAACAATAATGTGTCTCTAGGTCCACAGTTAAAGGTTGTTGCTACCATGTCTCAAACAATAATGTGTCTCTAGGTCCACAGTTAAAGGTTGTTGCTACCATGTCTCAAACAATAATGTGTCTCTAGGTCCACAGTTAAAGGTTGTTGCTACCATGTCTCAAACAATAATGTGTCTGTAGGTCCACAGTTAAAGGTTGTTGCTACCATGTCTCAAACAATGTGTCTCTAGGTCCACAGTTAAAGGTTGTTGCTACCATGTCTCAAACAATAATGTGTCTCTAGGTCCACAGTTAAAGGTTGTTGCTACCATGTCTCAAACAATAATGTGTCTCTAGGTTTACAGTTAAAGGTTGTGGCTACCATGTCTCAAACAATAATGTGTCTCTAGGTCCACAGTTAAAGGTTGTTGCTACCATGTCTCAAACAATAATGTGTCTCTAGGTTTACAGTTAAAGGTTGTTGCTACCATGTCTCAAACAATAATGTGTCTCTAGGTTTACAGTTAAAGGTTGTTGCTACCATGTCTCAAACAATAATGTGTCTCTAGGTTTACAGTTAAAGGTTGTTGCTACCATGTCTCAAACAATTATGTGTCTCTAGGTCCACAGTTAAAGGTTGTGGCTACCATGTCTCAAACAATAATGTGTCTCTAGGTTTACAGTTAAAGATTGTTGCTACCATGTCTCAAACAATAATGTGTCTTTAGGTCCACAGTTAAGGGTTGTTGCTACCATGTCTGTGGGAACACAACACATTGACCTGGCTGAGTGCAAGCGCAGAGACATTGTTGTAGCCAACACACCGGACGTGGCCGCAGACAGTGCTGCAGAATTCACAGTGGCCTTATTGCTGATGGTGACCAGGAGGTGTCTTGAAGGTTAGGGCTCGTATCTTACATTCAGCAGTTGACTCTAGCAAACCTTTTTGGATCTTACTTCTTCTTTGTCTCCATCTCAAGACCGGATCTGCCTTTCGGAGTTAGGTTTTGAAGAATCATGCCACAAACACACCATCCTGTTCATGGCCCATATTGGAATAGAGGCATAGCAACCATTGATCGCCAGTGAAAAAGATGAATGAAGAGTCATCGGGTGCGAGCCTTGGTATATGCTACATAGATATTGTATTTACGGCCTCAGATATTGTACCTGTCCATCTAGGTTTACTTCCATGATGTTTAAGTGACAGGGCATCTCACCGGCACAATGAATACTCAACCTCTTTTTTATCTGTTCTCTCTCTCTCTCTTTCTCTCTCTCTATTTATCTATCTGTCTCTCTCTCTACCCATCATTCTCACTATCTATTTGTCCATGTGTTCGTGGGTGGGAAATTGGGTGTGTGAGTAATTGGGACGTTCTTCCTCAATGATCTTTTATCACATCTACTCCATTCCGTATCGTAACAGGACTGTGCTTGAGATCTTCAACCGTGCCCCCATAGTTTATCTTGCAGGGCTACTGCTACTGACTGGAATGATACTTAGATGGCATGTACTTTACAGATTTCCCAAGTGTTTTTGGGGCCTTCAAAGTGAGCAAAGAGTGGAAACTGTAGTCTACCATGCGTGTCATAAAAAGCCACTGAGGAAGGTTGGTGTATGTATGGCTCCCTCAGTTCATAAATGTTATCAGTAAAATCCAGCCAAAATCTGGAACAGTCCAAAAAGGGTTTGGTGTGTGTTGGATGAGTGCTTATGCTCCTTGGGAGCTGAAAGTATAGGAGTTTACAGTGTACCGTGATTCTGAAAATTCTTCATCTTTCTCTGTATTCGCTTAAGAGGGCAATTTACAGCTAGACTGCGATATCTGCATCTTTTATCACAACACATCCAGTTTTAGCAAGTCCTCAGTTAGTCACATTTATGGAATGAATGTTAAGAGGCAATGACTTTCTTCTTCCCCCTACCCCCACACAAACAAACATGGGGGCCCAAATGTTGAATTGAGAATCAAAATCACAGCACGGGACTGTCCCATAAGCTCTCCATCCCCATCTTCAGCAGCAAGCGAGGAGTTCCTATTCCGATGATACCAGTAACTGTCTGATTGTACATCCATCTCGCCTTTCCCAAAGGGCTGTCGCAATATCTAGCTTTTCATACATTAGTTCATTACCAAGTGGTGTAGAACTGGTCAGTCTATCTGCCTGCTCATTTCTCAACGCATCGGCAAGACCTGGAGAAAATATTCAAAGGACTCTTACTACCCGGGACCTCTGAAGTGATGCTTGCCACTCTGCATGGACCATGCCTGTCTCCACCTTTCTCAACATACTTTGTGACTCAGTTACAATTACCACATATATGTACAGCCGATTCTCGAACCAGTGAAAGGCGGCAGTGACTGCCTCCAGCTCCATTCTCAAACTAGACAATGTGATATCATATGCCAGACTTTGCTGCTCTAAGCAACGTCCATTTGCTTTTGCTATGAACCCCTTGCACTTTTTCTGCCCTTCAACACAGCCATCTCGATTGATAATCACATCACCTGGGCGGGAATTGTCATGAACCATTTGTTGAACTGATTCTGCAGAACCAGCTGGCCAGTCCCTGCACTCACTACCCAAAGTGATAAGAACCCTACACAAGACTGATTCTAGCTCACACACTTTGACTCCTCTCCTTTCCCAAATTTATCAAGCTTGCCCACATGTCTGATTGTGACTTCAGCTTGCGCCATCCAAGACTTTCCTCTTTTCAGTCAGCAACCCTTAGCTCTACCCAGGGCTTCATGGAGGAGGTGCTTCTTGTCCGCAGCTACTCTGAGATATGACTTTGCCTGCAGAACTTTGAGCCTATCTGCAATAGTAGGCTGTGCAAGTATATATCACATTTTTATTACTGGGATATCTCGTGTACATCCCAGAATTACCTGCATGGCGTCATTCTGTATTATTTCAAGTTTCATTAGCTGACTCTTTGATATGGTAAGCATTCCAAGTCCATAGTCTATCACCGACAGGTTCACATACTGGAACATTGTGAACAGCATTCTTTGTTCCATATCCATTGCTCAGAATCCACATGGACAGAAAGTATTCCACTCCTGTGAATTATGTAGTCATTTTCGTGCTGCGACTGTTAGCAGCATCTGGTCCCCCCCTACCCCACTGCTCTTTGTTTATCTATCCCTACATGTTTATTTATTTATTATTTTCATTAGCTTTCAAAAAATTTTTACCACTGTTTTAAACAGGAGCAGAAGCTGTTGTCAACGGAGAGTGGGGGTTGTGGAAACCCATGTGGATCTGTGGTAACGAAGTTGTCAACAGGACGCTTGGCATCCTGGGATTCGGGCGGGTTGGGTTTGGAGTAGCTCGTCGCCTGAAGCCCTTCGGTGTGAAGAAGATTCTGTACAATGATGTCATTCAGTCAAGTATGGGAGCAGAGCTGCAGGCTCAGTTTGTCGATCTGGACACGCTGTTCCGAGAGTCGGATTTCCTTGTGGTGTCCTGTGCCTTGACTGGACTGACCAGGAATTTAATCAATAAAGAGACTTTTGACAAAATGAAGCCGTCTGCCATTCTTATCAACACTTCCCGTGGTCCAGTTGTCAACACTGCAGATCTGGTGGAAGCCTTGAGATCAGGGCAGATTGCCGGAGCAGGGCTCGATGTTACTGACCCAGAGCCGCTGCCTCCGAATCATCCTCTGATTAATTTAAAAAACTGCATCGTCACTCCTCACATTGGCACAAACTCAACAAAAGCCAGGCTGAATATGGCACTTAATACTGCTAGAAATATTATAGACACTTTGGTTCGAACATAAGAGGATCAGAATTTGATGATTTTTCTGATGGACCACACCCAATTTATCTATAAATATAACAGTAGTCTCGACTATATAGCTTGTGACTATCCGGCCTCCATACCATCTGGCCTAGTTTTAAACAATTTGACCCTAATAAAGTTAAAAGTAATTTACTTTGCAAAGACATTGCAAGCGGCCATCTGGAAAAAGCATTGGGCCACAGAGCGCATTACAGAATAGATGGCAGATGATGAAGTTGATGAAATAACTGCAATGATATTGTAGAAACTGTGACAGCGGGTAGAGTAATCAAAGAGGAGGTGGAGGCACCTTAAGGCGGAAAACAAAAATGCCAACTCACATTCAGAAGAGTTTGAGATGTTGACGCAGCACTGCAGTAAATTAGAGAGCAGGAGGAAGCGGCCCAGATAGTTACAAAATATTTTTTTGTGTGTGTTCAGAGAACTAAATTCACTCTTTCAGTCGCTTGAGATTTCAGTAACTGCAGTATGAGAGCTAGCAATAACCTGGTAAAGCCGGTCACTGTTAAGGTCAGGAGTTTGTTTCACAAACACTTCGTCCAGTTCCTGAGTGCTAATATTCTCAAGATCCATTGAGATCATTGCTAGATCTACGGAGAGAGGCAGAGCCATATAGAGTAACCTAATGCAGTGAAGCCAGTCTTAGCCATATAGAGTAACCTAATGCAGTGAAGCCAGTCTGAGCCATATAGAGTAACCTAATGCAGTGAAGCCAGTCTTCTCAACTTCAACTTCAAGCTTGGTTTGATATTTACAACAACAAAATGATTCCTTTTTTGAAAGTTTAGTTTCAATTCTATCAGAATGATTCTAGATGTTTGTATTGATGTTTTCTAGATGTTTATGTTGATGTATTCTAGATGTTTATGTTGATGTATTCTAGATGTTTATGTTGATGTATTCTAGATGTTTATGTTGATGTATTCTAGATGTTTATGTTGATGTATTCTAGATGTTTATGTTGATGTTTACCAACTGTTTATTATTTGTAGATTACACTATTGTGTGCCTTTTTTTTTTTTAGTATTACACCATTTGTGCCTTTATTAACTTTCACTACTTTTTTTTTTTTTAAAGCTTTAAAATCTTTACGAGTCCCTTTGGTCTAGGGGCGAGACGCTTGCCTGTGGATCCGAAGGTTTTGGGGTCAGGTCCTAATAAAGCTAGACTTTGTTTCAAAAAATGAGCCTGACTGCCGGATGTTCCTGCCACTATCAGCAACAGAAATACTTTCTGAAGTCAACTCTGTGTTGCAGATCAACTCATCTTGTATCTATTGTTGATCAGTGTACAGAAGGCAAAATCCCAAGGCAGATTGTTTCTTTATACATTATTTCCTGTTGAGATATTTTCTATTTTTTTGTACACTTGTTTTCTGGAACAGTGCGTTCCTGTACAATGGTTTCTTGTACTAATGTTTGCCTGTTCAAGTTTTCCTATGCAATAGTTTTTCTGTACAATAGTTTTCTTGTACAATGATTTTCCTGTAAAGGTGCCTGTTATACAAGTTTTCCTGTGCAAAAGTCACTGGACAGTATATGTCTACAAGTCTCAGCCATGTGCCCTGACCTGGATAGCAGAGATACAGCTGTGGAGACAGAAATGCTATGCTCAATACAAGTTGTTGCGATATTTGTGTTGTTTGTGTTGAAGCCAGCATGATACCCATAATCAGCCAAGTCACATCCCCCCCCCCCCTCCACATGTCGGCCATTCATCATTCTGTGGTGCCAGTTTACATCCCCATACCCCCCCCCCCCACAACTCACCCTCCACATGTCGGCCATTCATCATTCTGTGGTGCCAGTTTACATCCCCATACCCCCCCCCACAACTCACCCTCCACATGTCGGCCATTCATCATTCTGTGGTGCCAGTTTACATCCCCATACCCCCCCCCCCCACAACTCACCCTCCACATGTCGGCCATTCATCATTCTGTGGTGCCAGTTTACATCCCCATACCCCCCCACAACTCACCCTCCACATGTCGGCCATTCATCATTCTGTGGTGCCAGTTTACATCCCCATACCCCCCACAACTCACCCTCCACATGTCGGCCATTCATCATTCTGTGGTGCCAGTATACATCCCCATACCCCCCACAACTCACCCTCCACATGTCGGCCATTCATCATTCTGTTGTGCCAGTATACATCCCCATACCCCCCCCTAACCCACAACTCAACCTTCCACATGTCAGCAATTCATCATTCTGTCGTGCCAGTATACATCATATTGAGCACGGTCTAATCCTCTGTTCTGTTGAATTCAATCCAGCTTCTTTGTCCTGATGACAGAAGAAGTCACAGATAATTCATCATGAAGCTTTCGTCTACCATCAATGAGTTGCCAGTTACAAAAACAGTTCAGTATTTTTTTTTTTTTTTGGTGTTTTGCACCAAACACATTTATGATTATTATCTACTGTTAACCATTATGCCAGATTGATTTCACGGGACCATAACTGTTTAATTGCCAGTTTATCTACTGTGATTGTTGTGTTTATTATTGTTATCTTGAAATATTTACACCTGATGTATTATTGCATTTGATAATAAAAGAAGGACATTGTTGGTCAACTTCATGTGTACATATCTTATTTGTCTTCCCTGTGATGTTGGTGTCTAAATATTTGTTGAAATCTCTTGAACCGGGTGAGAGAAACCATGTCATCAAAGAAGCAAATATGCGTGTTTATTATCAGGCAAGATTAGATGTAGCAAGAATGGCAGATAACAGGGAGACAAAAAAACTTTGTACAGTGCAGACCACTTAAGGTGATCTTGAATGTGGCAAATTTCTGTTGTGAAGAACACTTTGTTTATCCCCAGCAATTTTTCTTGCTTGAACTTATTATCTGAATAAGAGGAATTTCTGATAAGATGACCTGTTTCTTAGGTCCCCAGGGAGTTCTCCTTATCAGGTCTGCACTGAATATAAATGAGTTCTCTGGGAGTAGACCACTACAGAGGGAGAATCAACAGTCTGAGAGAGTGTACAGTGGAGGTGAACAACAATGTTAGAAGTCCAGTTCAGCCAGCCTTTATTGGGGTGAGACACCTCTTTTACGGAGACTACGAGGCAGACCATAATGATAGCGGACAGATACCTTACAGACAGACCTCAAACACTCAGAGTCACCTAATAGGAGGAGAAAGCTGGTCATGGAGGTGGGTTGTCTTTGCAGAAATGAAGCTCAAAGGCTCAGAATTTGGAAGAAAAAGAAGGATGATTGGCCATAATGGTGCAAATGACATCAGGGCACTGGACACAACTGTCCGTTATCTGTATACAAGTTTTATTTAGCTCCTGCATTTGAATCACTCGACATTTAAACATAATGAGACATAGTAGAACGTATGTTGGTTCTGTGGCTAAGTCGATGCGAACGCTTCATAATGCTGGGATGCCGGGTTCGATCCCAGCTGCGGGCCATGCGCCTTGCGTTGGTTTTGACAGTGGTATCAAGAAAGCCGACCGTCCAGAAAGCAATGGCAAACTACTGGATGTAAATTTGCCCAGAAAAACCACACAACAGCCAGGGTTTGTTGGGGTTGGTTCTGCAACGTCCTGTAAAGGATACGCAACTAATATTTAGTAGAACGTACACACAAGCAAAGAGGGAATTATGACACTGACAACACACAAGCAAAAAGGGAATTATGACAGTAACTGCACATAAGCAAAGAGGGAATTATGACAGTACCTGCTCATAAGCAAAGAGGGAATTATGACAGTAACTGCACATAAGCAAAGAGGGAATTATGACAGTAACTGCACATAAGCAAAGAGGGAATTATGACAGTAACTGCACATAAGCAAAGAGGTAATTATGACAGTAACTACATACAAGCAAAGAGGGAATTATGACAGTAACTACACAAATAAACCAGTAAAACTATGTACATGCAAAATTCAAGCCCTGTCATAAAGCTAAAGTCCAAATAACCAGGACTTTCTGCTGGAGCTTACAGCCAGTGAACAAAGAAGAAGAAAAAAGATGATGATGAAGACGAAGCATTAAATCACGCGTGTGCTTTATAGCGTCAAGGAAAAGGGCAACATCTCATACAAATTCTGGAATTTCAACAAAGAAGGCATAGACTAGCAGCACACTTGCCTGATGTGATAGGGGTCGTGTGTTTGAATCATCAGCGAGCAGAAGACGAAGAAGGGTCGGAGAATAAAGAATATAGTAAGGAGGGAATGGGGAAGAGGTGATACATGTTGAAGATAAAGGGGAAAGTAATGGAGACAAAAGAAGGGATTTAACTATCACCACTGATGTTTCTTTGTTTATCAGAGTAGCTGCCCCTGTGCAGTTGTCGTCTGTTTCTGCTGTCGGAATGTTTTGGTTCCGGATTTATCAAAACAATAATAATCATTCCCCCAGAGTGTCGGTCCGACGCCGTCGCAGACCTAAGATTGTCTAAACCAGCCACACAGCCGAGTGGCTGGCAACACAGAGTTCTGAGAGCTTTAAGAATATACATAGGTAAGTTGAAAGTTTTTTTTCCAAAAGTCAACATTGTTGATACAAATTAATCGTTGAATTTGGATAGGAAGAAGGTCACTAATGACAATGAAGATCTAACTACTCCCATTCTTTGCGAATTAGGAGCTAATTACTGACATTGCGTTATTAATTAAAAACAAACTATACAGTAATTAATGTAAACGATATGTTCCCGTGTAATATATTCAAGTCAGCCGAGTTCCTAAGCTGTCATAGCATTCGTATTTGTGGTATGCTTTCTGGACTGTAGAGATCCATTTCAGTAATTACTGTTATCACTACTCATTGAATCATTTAATTAATAGACATATCGTTATTAATAATGGTAAAATCTTTTACACTCAGCCCGATGTTTGTGCTTCCATTGACTATCAAAGCATTGCCCTAGTCAGTTTATGCCAGATATTGTCAAAGCTCTTTGGGAGCGAGTGAACAGTGCAGAGGCACACAATAGATC